AGATGGCTGGCGGTTCAAACCCACCAGCCACTCCTCGGAAGGAAGGTTGGGCAATCCTACTTCCGTAGTGATACTGCCTCGGAAACCCAAGGAGGGGTCCCTATGAGTCGGGGCCGACTCGACGGCACATAGCAACAACAACGTGACCCAGTAGTGAATAACATTTACAAAGTCACAAGAATATATACATTTACTACTGATCTAACAAAAAAATATGTTAATACTTTTTGATAATCAAGCAGATGGGTGGAAAGGGAGTTGGGGGGTAAAGGGGTAGTGGTGTGTAAAAAAGGTCAGCCCTCACTCTTCCTAATAGGGTCAATAGTCTTAAACTGAAAAAAATAAAGAAATAGCAATCTATAGGGCTTCTTGAAAATACAGAGGCAGATGAGAAAAGAAAGAGCTAAAATAGTTGAAAGTAATTGTGGTGCAGTGAATTACTTTTCGAGCCAGTCTTTGTAACCCCCATTGGATTACTGAGAGAGACCATGCAAATAAGGTGTGTAGAACTCTGATGCTGGGATTGGTTAGTTTTGTCACTCTGCCAGGCTTAAAATGAGCCTTCCTAGAGACACAGTGGGACCTCACTGCCATCACAGCCTTGGACTTGAGATCCCTGTGCTGGACTTCCTTGGCAGAGAGATGCCCCAGCAGAGATTCCCTGGCAGAAAGATGGTGGCATGGAACCAAGAGGCATGAGACAGAGTGGCACACTTACCTGGCCCACGGAGTGAGAAAGCTGAGGGCCCTTGGGCTGGAGGCTTGCTGGTGGAGTGGGGTGCCCCTAGGTGTTCCTACTGGTAGAGCTAAGAGCTTCATAACACTTGCCCAAACAAGGCAGAGGCCAGGCCAAGAGGCCAAGGGCCAGAAAGGTGTGTCTGAGGGCATAACAGAGGGGAGACTATCCTAATCAAAGAACTGTATACTTAGTGTGTTCCTGAACCTGAATCGTAGTCTGTTACTTTCCTAATAAACTCCACAATCATGATTATTGTCTGTTGAGTTCTATGTGGCCATTGCAATGAATTATTGAACCCAGCAGAGTAGTAGTGAGTGCTATGTGAGGTACAATTGGTGTCAGAATTGGTAAAAGGCTGGAGAGTGGCGGGATGTCTAACATCATAGGAATAAGCTTTGGGCTGCTGATGGTGATTCTGTCTTCCTCTCGTGAAGTTAGAGGAGGTCAGAAGATGTCGCCTTCGTGCCCTTTTTGCAGTAACTGCCTCTGGATAGGGTGAATTGAGGATGGTGGGGCAGAGAACTTCCGTTTCTTATTAACTTCTTTATTTATTTTGTAAGTCTGATCTAACTGCTTAATGGTTTACATTGTGAATATTGTAACTTTGGTTTAAAACTTTATTTAGAAATAAATTTTCTAACAACAGAAATCAGAATTGACAATAACGAACAATGACCACTGAGTATACAAATAATGTCTGGAACCATGGCAAATAGGAGGGGTAAATGAGAGAACCAGGAAGAGAGTGCAGAATAAAACCCTGGTCATAGACATATAACCATATGTTATGGTGACCATAGAAAGGATAGACAACAAAAGAAAGAGTGGTCAGGGAGGGAGGGAGTAGGGTAGGGAGAAAAGAAGGAGACAAAACAACCCCAATTCAAGATGGAAATACCCTCATTAGTTATCAGTGTGTTCCCCTCCTTTCTCGATTACAGACTTCTCCTACACATCAGCAACTTGTTCTGACCCAGCTGTAAGCACATAAGAATAGTCCACTTTTCTTCTTCTCTTCCCCTTAGAACCTGGACTCTTCTTACATACACTGTGTGGCTGGGATCAATTGATGCAGACTATTCAAGTGAAGGCTTGCAGTACTATGTATCCAAAATCATCATCCACCCCAACTTCAAAGAAACAACCGCAGACATTGCTTTGTTGAAACTGTCCTCCCGCGTCACCTTTACATCTCTCATCCTGCCCATCTGCTTGCCCAATATCAAAAAGCATTTGGCAATTCCAGCCTCGTGTTGGGTGGTCGGATGGGGGAAAACAAAGGAAAGTCAAGGTGAGAAGTGTTATTTTATACTTTGTCCTCTTGTGCCGACTCCAGAACATTCACACTCTGGGCATATCATTGTTGTGGTGGTGGTTGTTATTTGCCATCAAGTCGGACCCAACTCATAGTGACCCCTCCTTGGGTTTCCGAGGCAGTATCACTACAGAAGTAGATTGCCCAACCTTCCTTCTGAGCTGGGCATATCATTACTATGACAAATATTTTTCAATAAAAGCAGATCTAATTGATATTATCTTCTTTTTTGTGTGTGACATTTATATGTTTGTTTTATTTACTCCTATATCCTGCCTAGAATCTAGCTATAGCTGGAGGAGCAGATACTAACAATTTAAATACATAATGACTTCTCTCAAACAGGAGTTAAAAAACCTGGTAAGAAGTTTGGTGATGGTGTGGTAGTTAAGGTTGTGTGTCAGCTTGGCTGGGCCATGGTTTTGAGTGGCTAGGCAGCTGGATTCCCCACGATGAGATTGTAGTCATCTCCATGGTGAAATCTGCTGTGAGCAGCTAAGTAGCTGCCTTCAGGGTGTGGCCTGCTTCCAGTGCTTTTGGCACATTTTGGATCCTGCATTTATCTGAGTCTTCATCTCCAGTTCCTGGACTTAAACTAGTGGCCTACCGTGTTGCCTGCTGACCTTGGAATTGTGACATTTTATCTGCCAATCTTTGGTTCATCAGCCTCAGCAGCCAGCACCTGCATGAGTTATGAGATGCTTGCAGCTCCAGTGGGCCTGCAACAAGATATAGAGCTGAAGCCCAAGGTTCAAGGGCCTTTACCCAGCCCCTAGAGCTGGCACTCTGAATTCAGACTTCTAGCCTCCTAAACTGTAAAAGAATAAATTCCTGTTTGCTAAAGCCATCCATTTGTGGTACTTCTGGTATAGTAGCACTAAAGAACTAAGACACTTAGTAGTTTTCATGTTTTTAAAGTGTTGTATTCAACTCTTTCTCAGGTTGGAGTAAAGATAAGAAAGGAACTGGGAGCAGAAAAATGAAACTATTTTAGAATAGAAGTCATATCTTAATCTATCAGAATTTACTAGAATTGCTCTTTATTTAGAACAGGATACCCCACATTTGTACATTAGAAAAACCTGAAACATTTCAAAGTCAAACTAGTAATTGTGAATTATCTATTGTTTTAAATTACTTATACCAAAAGATCTTTCCATTAGCAAAGATGATTGGACAGTGATTACATCCTGCGTTTACATTCCCTTTCAGAGATTTCTGCACATCATGACTGAATGTTGCCTCCTACCTTTCTAGCTTATTTTAACCTTTCATTCCTATCTATTTCTACAGATTCTGATTTCTATCCAATTCTCCAGGAAGTAGAAGTGCCCGTTATTGACCACAAGGCTTGTGAAAAACTCTACAACCCAATTGGTGTCTATTTTCCAGAGTTGGAGAAAGTCATCAAAAAAGACATGATTTGTGCTGGTGATACTGACAGACATAAGGACAGTTGCAAGGTTAGGCTGGCTCTTGAGACTATTGGGTTTTGGTTTGTTTTTTTTACATGATATTTTTTTCCTTACCATTGATTGATGATCAGCAGTTTGAACAGATGTGCTAGGTGTGATTTTCTTTGTATTTATCGCATTTGAGCTTCATTGAGTTTTTGTGTATATAATTTTTTAATCCACAGATTTATATCTTTCATCAAAACCAGGGAAATCTTCAGTCATGATTTCTTAAAATATTACTTTGCCTCATCTCTTTTTTCTTCCATTCTGGTTAAAACCACAAACTTATATGCCTTATCTTTTTATTACTGTCACACCTTTTTAATAAGCCCCTTTTTAACATTGTTTTCTCTTTTCTTCAAATTGGATACTTTTATTGCCCCTTGCATTTACACTTTGCTGTCAAGATCATGTAACGCATTTTTAAAAAAATTTCAGATACTTTATTTTTCAGTTCTAAAATATCTATTTGGTTTTCTACACACATACTTGTCTCTATCAGCCAAGATTTCCTATCTGTGAATTCATTATGAGCATATTTTCTTTTACTTTTGTTGAGCATAGTTATTAACAGCTGCTTTAAAATCCTTATTTGCTCATTTCAAAATCTGAGTTGTCTCAGAGTTAATTTCCATTGATTGCTTTTTCTCAAGTAACACTCTTCTGCTTTTCTTGGAATATTTTCCTGGGCTTTTTTTTTTCCTTTCTTTTAAATGTCTAATAATCTTGTATTGTATCCTGGACCCTGTCAGTGATATCTTACAGAGAATACTGATTGTTATGTTCCTCTGAAGAATGCTGATCTTCTATTTTAACAGGCAGTTAACCTGGCTGACTTCAAATTCCAAATTGGGTCTCCCTTGTCGTAGGCAGCAGCTGAAATCTCCATTCAGTTCTTTTAAGCTTAGCTGCTTGGGGTCTAACCTGCACATATATGTATGTCAGTGGTTAGCCAGAGATTTGAGCAAAGATTATATGGAGAATTTTGGGCTCCCACTCTATGGCTCTCTCTTTTGTGGGATTTCTCCCTTCTCTTTCCAACTGTTATATTAGCCCTGAATTTTGTCCTCTGATTCTTCAAACCAATGAGACTGTGGTTTTCTATTTAAGCTCCAGTCACCATCTAAGATAATGACAGGGCCTGTTCCAGAGGAAAAAAGCTATTAAAAGGAAAAATTCTGTGTCCTCTCTTCTTTCAAGAATTTGTTCTTATGCACCGTCAAGTCATATAATGGTTATATTTACAGTCAATTGATTTTCAACACTGGTGCCAAAACAATTCAATAAGGAAATAATAGTTGCTTCAACAAATATTGCTGGGACAACTGAATGTTGTTGTTTTTAGGTGCCAGTGAGTTGGCTCCGACTCATAACAACCCTATACACAACAGAACAAAACACTGCCTGGTCCTGCACCATCCTCACAATCCTTGCTATACTTGAGCCCATTGTTGCAGCCACTATGTCAATCCATCTCATTGAGGGTCTTCCCCTTTTTTGCTGACCCTCTACTTTACCAAACATGATTATCCTTCTTCAGGAAATCGTCCCTCTTGACAACATGACCAAAGTCTGACCATTCTCACTTCTAAGGAGCATTCCAGCTACTCTTCTTCCAGGATAGATTTGTTCCCGATTCTGGCAGTCCATGGTATTTTCAGTATTCTGCCCCAGCACCACAACTCAAAGGCATCAATTCTTCTTCAGTCTTCCTTATTCAGTGTCCAGCTTTCACATACATATGAGGCAATTGAAAGTAACATGGCTTGGGTTAGGCACACCTTCGTTTTCAAAGTGACATCTTTGTTCTCTAATACTTTAAGAGGTCTTTTGCAGCAGACTTGCCCAGTGCAATACAACGTCTGATTTCTTGACTGCTACTTCTATGGGTGCTGATTGTGGATCTAAGTAAAATGAAATCTTTGACAAGTTCAATCTTTTCTCCATTTATCAAGATGTTGCTTATTGACCTGGTTGTGAAGATACAATCTTCAGTATGGATTGCACTTCAACATAAAGAAAACAAAAATCCTCACAACTGGGACAATTGGATATCCACATGCAAAACAAATGAATTTGGACCTTACTAGATACAAAATTATCAAAGACCTAAATATAAGAGTTAAAACTATAAAACTCTTAGAACAAAACATAGGGGTAAGTGTGACATTGGATTAGGCAAAAGTTTCTTACATATGACATCAAAAGCAACTGACTGACAAAACAATCAAAATTCAAGGTCATAAAATCTAAAAACTTTTTATTGTGTTAGGTGAAATTTTACAAAGTAGATTTATTTTACATTCAACACTTCACAAGCATTTTGTTTGTGAAACTTATGATAAAGATGTCACTTATTACATTACCTTTCTCCCTGTGCAAATGCTGCCCTTCTGATCTCCCGTAGTTGATTGTTCTAAGGAGTATATGTCCCTTGTGTAGTTGATCAGCTGGAAGGCCTGTCTATTGTTCAGCTGAGACTTAAGCCATGGGAATGAGTTCAATTCTAGGCCTAAACGGTAACTCAGGGCCACAGCCTAAGAGGTTTCACCAGTCTCTATTAGACCAGTAAGCCTGGCCTTTTTTTATGATTTTGAGTTTTGTTCCACATTTTTCTTTCACTCTATCCAGGATCTCCAATATTTATCCCTTTCCGAATAGTTAGCATTGATAGCTGGGCACCATGTAGTTCTTCTGGTCTCAGGGTCACATAGGCTGAGGTTCTCATGGTCCATAGTCCTTGGCACTAATTGTTTCTGTTTGTCTTTGATCTTCTTTACTCTTCTTTGCTCCAGACAAGAAGAGACCAATAGTTGCATGTTAGATGGTTGTTTGTAAGCTAAATCTAAAAACTTTTATGCTTCAAAGGAGACCATTAAGTTAAAAAGCACCCTAGAGAACAGAAAATATTTATAAATCATATATATCACAAGGGAGCTGTATCTAGAATATATAAAGAACATTTATAATTCAATAATAAATACTGATAAACTGACATATAAAAATTTATTTTAAAACAGATAAATAACCCAATTAAAAAACAGGCAAAGAATTTGAATAGACTTTTCTCCAAAGAAGGTTTACAAATGGCCAATAAACACATAAACACATGCTTATCAGGAAATGCAAGCTAAAACCACAATGAGATACCACTTCACACCCACTCACTCACTGGCATCAAGTAGATTCTGAGTCACAGTGACCTCCACTGAGTTTCCAAGGCTGTAAATCTTTATGGAAGCAGACTGTCTCATCCTTCTTCTTCTTCTCTGGTGGGTTTAAGCCACTGGTCTTTTGTTTAGTAGCCAAATGCCTTAACCACTACATTACCAGAGCTCCTTTCACACCTACTAGGAAGGATATAATTAAAAAGACAAGTAATAAGAGTTGATGAAGATGAAAAGAAGCTAGAACTCTCATAGACTGGTGGTAGGAATGTAAAATGGTTCAACCACTTCCAAAACAGTCTGGCATTTCCACAAAATGTTATAAACAGTTACTATATGTCCCAACTTTTACACTGCTAAGTGTATACCCAAGAGAAATGAAAACATATGTCCACATAAAAACTTATACATGAATATTCCTAACAGCATGTTTCATAATAGCCAAAAGCAGAAACAACCCATTAATTATGAATGGGTAAACAATATGTGGTATATTCATACAATGGAATATTATTCATCCACAAAAAAGAATGTAGATCTATGCTACAACGTGGAGAAACTTGAAAACATTATCCTAAGTGAAGGAAGCCAAATGACCATACACTATTTGACCTATTTATATGAAATGTCTAGAATAAGAAATGCTATAGAGACAGAAAGTAGATTATTAGTTGCTTAGGGCTGGAGTGGCCAGAGGAAGTGAAGTTGACTTCTAATGGACACAGGGCTTCTTTTGGGATGAAGAAAATGTTCTAAAATTGTTTGTGGCAATGGTTGCGTAACACTGAATATACTAAAAACCATTAAATTGTATACTTTAAATGGATGACCTACATGGTGTGGTGCAATGGGTTTATGTGCCCTTTCCAGTTCTAGGTTTGTAATCCTCTCAAATGATTGGTTGGCTCAATCTGCTAAAGGATTGATTGGTTTGCTATCCACACAAGTGGCTTATAATCCATCCAGTAGTATTGGTTGGTTTACAAAAGCCACTCCTTGAAATGGAAAAGTTTTCCTATACAACCGGCTAATCTCGAAGAGGTTTTTAAGGAACTCCTGATCAAGAAGAGGCTGGAGAGGAGCATGTCCTTTGGATCCAGGGTCCCTTTGTGGAGATCCTCTTAGACCTAAGTAAAACAGCTACATAATATGGGCCGAGGGCTACAACACTGAGCTGATAACATCGAAGACCTAGAGAAATGGTGGTAAGCACCACAGAGCCACGTAGCAGAGAGATGATGGTAGCAGTATGACTGGTGGGAATCACAAGACTGGCAGGTGGCATTGGTGGGCTAGTTGGTCCATGGAGCAAAGCTGGGCATTTCCAGGTAGGACGTTGCCAGTGGAGCTAAATGATCTATAAAGGGGAGAGAACCATAGCCCACGTACATTCAGGCAGATATCCAAGCAGAACGGCATGGGAGCCAAGATGGCTTGTTTTAGTAGTAGCAGATATTACAGGTGTGCTGAGAGCTGTAATTTTGAGAGGGCAAAAAAGAGGCCTGTTGAGGCTTGGGCATATACTATACAATGGATGCTTGTAAAAGTTTCGCCTTGTGGGCCATTGTAATACCAGCCTAAACCTGGTATTAGCCCAGGGTTGTCCTGAAGTTGCTGATTGAGAGTTGGACCAGTAAGCACAGGGGGCCAGACACAGTCAAGACGGACTGGGTCACAGAGAGAGAGACAAGAGAATAATCACAACTATGCTGCACCTATCTGAGATGATGACACAGCTGCTAACACCTGATTCATAGTGTGCACGCCCAGTAACACAGAAGTGGATATAGGTAATATGGGAAGGGTGAGCAGGTCCCCTTTTAGACATAAGTGTGTTCCTACTTTATGATGCTCATAAGAGTAGAGGGAACTGGTTACCTCAAATCTGTTCTTGTTGTTTACTACTTGCTTTCTGTAAGAAACCTGTTCTTGTTGCTTCTATAAATAATAACACCTTTCAGTTGCTAACGCTGTATCTTGTGCATACAACCCAATAGGATCAGACAGAGGAGTCCTCATCCTAGAAGTATTATCACTGCTTGTCATTTTGAGGCAACTGGTATGTGTTTAAAACACAATTTACATGGTATGCGAATAATATCTTAATAAAGATGTTATAACAAAAAATGACAGACTGACAAACATACTACCAACTATTATCCCTATTATTTTATTTTTCAAAAAAGCATCATTTAAATGCCTAAAAAAAAGGCAGGAAGAACTTAAGAACAGAAAAATAAGAACAGTTTATTCAACTGAATAATTTTTTTTTCCAAATGAATAAATTTAGCTTTACTGAGAAACTCATCATATTAATCTTATTTCACCATTTACAGGTGAAATTTTTATTGCAGAGGAGCATTTTGAAACTACTGGTATATTTGTCTAAGATCCTTGCCAATCTCAAACTCCATGATTCTGGAATTGCCATGATCTTCCCAGAATGCAGTGGGCAGCCCAGCTTCCTCTACAGCTTGGTATTTCCATAGGTTTCAATGCCTGGTTCTAAGCAACTCTCCATCCTTCTGCTCTCTCTCTCTCCTCTTCATAGTCCATTTTCACTATACTCGTGATCTTTATCTCTTCTTTAGGGTGATTCTGGAGGGCCTCTGTCATGTGATATTGATGGTGTGTGGATCCAGATAGGAGTGGTAAGCTGGGGAATAGGCTGTGGTCAATCTCTTCCTGCTGTCTACACCAGTGTAATCTACTACCAAAAATGGATTAATGCTACCATTTCAAGAGCTGAGGCTTTGAGTTCCAAGCACCTGAACTTATCTGACTTTCTGTTCCCAACTGTACTGCTCTGCCTGACTCTCCTGGAACCTTCCTGTGCTCTTTGGGCCTAACATGGTACCAAGAAGCAGGCAGTATAGCTGAAGCTATCAGCTGAGTACAAGGCTGGGAAGGGAGTGCTGGGAGAACAAGCCCTAGGGGCAGAGAACTCACAGGACAATCACTGGGAACCCTAGATGACGTCATTAAAATAACTTGAATTTTTTTCTTTAAATGTTCTTGGGTCTGGTAGTGTGTTTTAGTGGTCAGAATGTGAACAGCTGAGAAATAAAGCTGCCACTTTTGTGCACAGCACTCTTTGTCCCTAATTATGTGTCTATAAATAACACCTTTCAATTGCCAATATTGTATTAATGTCTGTGTGTACAACCTTATCAGATCAGATAATAAAGTCCTCATCCCAGAAGTCTTATTCTGCTTGTCATTTTGAGGTAACTGGAGTGTGTTTCAAAAGGAGCTCTAGTGATGCAATGGTCAAGCACTTGGCTGCTAGCCTAAAGGTTGGTGGTTTGAACTTACCAGCTGCTCCATGGGAGTAAGATTGGCAGTTTGCTTCCATAATGATTACAGCCTTAAAAAACCTATGGGGACAGTTTTAACCTGTCCTATAGGGTCTCTATGAGTCAGAATCAACTTGACAGCAGTGGGTTTGTTTTGAGTTGGGTGTGTGTTTATGCACACAGTTTACATGGTATCCGCTTATTGTCTCTATGGGTAAGGATTTATGGACACAAATTAAACGGTTTCTAGAAAGACCAAAAAAAAAAAAAAAAAGAAAAAACTGACTCGATGGCACTGAGTGTGTATATGTACGTATGTAGAGAGACAAGGCAAAAATTATCTGGGAAGACAAAAGACAAGGTCCTCAAAGAAATATAAAAACTAAAAACCAAACTCACTGCTGTCGAGTCAGATCCTCCTCATAGCAACCCCTCCTTGGGTTTCCAAGGCAGTATCTCTACGGAAGTAGACTGTGCAACCTTCCTTCCAAGGAGTGGCTGGTGGGTTTGAACCACCAGTCTTCTGGTTAGCAGTCAAATGCCTTAGGCACTACACCACAAGAGTTCCCCAAAGAAACATATCAAGGGTTTATTTTGTGCCCATGGTTACAACATGGGGTTCCTACCTGATTTATACTTTTTGCTTCCTGGGTGACACAAATGGTTAAGTGCTTAATTACTAACAAAAAGGTTGGCTATTTGAACCCACCTAGAGGTACCTCAGAAGAAAGTCCTGGTGATCTGCTTCTGAAAAGTTACCTTGGAAACACTACAGAGCAGTTCTAGTCTGCACACATGAGGTCACCACGAGTTGGAAATGACTCAACAGCAATAGGTATGATGCTATGCTTCCCCTCCATACCCTTCCCTACCAACGTCAGCAAGGGGTCTAATAAGAAATGCATACCTGTAGTTTAGCACTGTATTTTTCTAAAACTTCTACTTTTGGAAATACCAATATGGGGGAGTTCAAGCAAGATGGCAGACTAGGCAGAAAGACTGCACAGACCCTCTTCAACAAAGAAAAGGGAAACCAATTAACACAGACACAGAAGATAATCCTGGACCCCTGAGCCTT